GATTTAATTTTGTTTAGTAAAAGATCTAGAGGTTTAATATTGTTTAATGAAACGTCTGAAGGTTTAATTTTGTTTAATAAAATGTTTAGAGGTTTCATATTGTTTAATGAAAGGTTTAGAGGTTTAATTTTGTTTAATGAAAAGTTTAGAGGTTTAATATTGTTTAATAAAAGCTCTAGAGGTTTAATATTGTTTAATAAAAAGTCTATAGGTTTAATATTGTTAAATGAAAGGTTTAGAGGTTTAATATTGGTTAATGAAAGGTTAAAGGGCTTAATATTGTTGAATGAAAGGGGTAGAGGTTTAATTTTTTTAATAAAAGGTTTAGATGTTTATATTGCTTATTGAAAGGTCTAGAGGTTCAATATTGTTTAATAAAAGGTTTAGAGATTTAAAATCGTTTAATGAAAGGCCTAGAGGTTTAATATTGTTATTAAAAAGTCCATAGGTTTAATATTGTTAACTGAAAGGTTTAGAGGTTTAATATTAGTTAATGAAAGGTTAAGGGGTTTAATATTTTTTAGTAAAAGGTTTAGAGGTTCAATCTTGTTTAATAAAAGGTTTAGAGTTTTTATATTGTTTAATAAAAGGTCTAGACTCTAGAGGTTTAATATTGTTTAATAAAAAGTCTATAGGTTTAATATTGTTAACTGAAAGGTTTAGAGGTTTAATATTGGTTAATAAAAGGTTAAGGGGTTTAATATTGTTGAATGAAAGGTTTAGAGGTTAAAATTGATTAATAAAAGTTCTAGAGGTTCAATATTGGTTAATGAAAGGTTTATAGGTTTAATTTTTTTAATAAAAGGTTTAGATGTTTATATTGCTTAATGAAAGGTCTAGAGGTTCAATATTGTTTGATAAAAGGTTTAGAAACTTTATATTGTTTAATAAAAGGTCTAGAGATTTAAAATCGTTTAATGAAAGGCCTAGAGGTTTAACATTGTTATTAAAAGTCTATAGGTTTAATATTGTTAACTGAAAGGTTTAGAGGTTTAATATTGGTTAATGAAAGGTTAAGGGGTTTAATATTTTTAAGTAAAAGTTTGGAGGTTTAATATTGTTTAATAAAAGGTCTAGAGGTTCAATATTGGTTAATGAAAGGTTTAGAGGTTTGATTTTTTAAATAAAAGGTTTAGAGGTTTATACTGTTTAATTAAAGGTCTAGAGGTTCAATATTGTTTAATAACAGGTTTAGAGTTCTAATATTGTTTTATGAAAGGTTTAGAGGTTTAATATTGTTTAATGAAAAGTCTTGAGGTTCAATATTGTTTACTGTTGCAAGGTCTAAGGTTTGCGATAAAACATACTAAGGTTAGATTTAGGCTAATGGCATTTAAAGTGGGAAAATCAGTCTTATACAACCTCTTTATTGACAGTTGGTGAGTCCTAGCTATAGTTTAGCATATACAATATACAAATATAACCCTTTATTTTGGAACCAGTAGGAGAGAGGGGGGGTACAGGATAAAAGAAAGAGGTGTTATCTAGCCCTTCCCCCCCCCCCCATCATAAAGTAGGGATAAGTGAGTTTTAAAAAATCATCGATCTTTTTTTACAATTATTAAAGATCTTATAATTTTAAAAATGTTTAATTTCAATAGCTATTGACAAATCAAGATTCACGATAGATCAAGGCTTGAAAGAATACAAAGATACACCTGGATTTGGGAATAGGAACCGAAGTTAATGATTTAGTAGAGAATCTTAAACGATCTTGTCAAATCCAACATATTTTTTCAAACCTTATGACGCCATTTTATTTTTTACAAAGTATGCAATATTACTTTTGGTTTAGACAAAGTTTACGCAAGGTTTAGCCAAAGTTTATTCAAGTTTTAGACTTTACTCAAGGTTTAGACAAAGCTTGCTCAAGGTTTAGACGAAGTTTACTCAAGGTTTAGACAACGCTTACTCCAGGCTCAGTAAAAGTTTACTCAAGGTTTAGATAAAGTTTACTCAAGGTTTAGACAAAGTTTACTCAAGGGTTAGAAGAAGTATCTACTCTAGGTTTATCCAAAGTTTTTCTTAAGGTTTCAACAAAGTTTACTCAAGGTTTAGTCTAAGTTTACTCAAGGTTTAAACAAAGTTTACTCAAGATTCATATTAAGTTTACTCAAGATTTATACAAAGTTTAATCAAGATTTATATAAAGTTTACTCAAGGTTTAAACAAAGTTTACTCAAGGTTTAAACAAAGTTTACTCAATAAGTTTACTGAAGGTTTAGTCAAAGTTTACCCAAGGTTTAAACAAAGTTTACTGAAGGTTTAGTCAAAGTTTACTCAAGGTTTAAACAAAGTTTACTGAAGGTTTAGTCAAAGTTTACTCAAGGTTTAAACAAAGTTTACTCAAGGTTTAGTCAAAGTTTACTCAAGGTTTAAACAAAGTTTACTCAAGAATTGGACAAAGTTTACTCAAGATTTAAACAAAGTTTACTCAAGGTTTAGTCAAAGTTTACTCATGATTTAGACATAGTTTACTCAAGGTTTAAACAAAGTTTACTCAAAGTTTACTCAAAGTTTAGCCCCGAAAAAAAACTTATTTCTTTTAAAAGAAAAGTAATTTAGGTTTTGAGATGTCCAAGACACCTCCTGGAGTTTCTCTGATTAAACTCCAACAAGGAAACTCAGGGTTCTCTACATGCTCTTCGTTATATAGAAGATCTTTTTAGGACAGGGGTATATATCTTCAAGAATTATTCCTTTCAACCCTTTTCGATACTTTTTTCACAAAATATATTTGATTCCCCTACTTTCCCTAGTTTTGGAAATAAGACTTTAAAAAATTATACCCAACCTCAGAACAAAAGAAAAAAGATTTTTTACGAAATACAAATGACATTTAAGAAAACATATAACATGAAAAAGGGTGTGAAAGTTCTAGTACGAATGGCGCTTCGAATTCTCTTACCATTAGACTAAACTTTTCTTGCTACAATTCCATGTTGACATTATTTTCTCGTTTTATTGCCGGATTATTTAAATGTTTAAAATCCTTAATTTCTTAACGAGAATAAATATATATTTGATGGCTGACCTGTTACAACCCTCTTAAGGTTATGTAAGGCTTCCAAAAAATTTTGGCCGGATAATACTATCAAACATACGTAACTAGGCTTTAGGGCGCTTCGCGCCCATCTTCTTCTACATTGTAAAACAAAAATAAATTTGTGGATTTTATAAAAAATGTCGTGAATTTTCAAAACTAAATGCAAATCGATCTTTTTTGGAGGCAAATTTTTAACATTTTGAGCCCGATCGGATCAGCCGTTTTGACGTTTATTGGATACAAACAAACAAACAAACACCCACCCAGACAAGCCAAGTATATAGATAGATACATATTATGTATAGAAGATAAATAGAAGAATGGCGGCAGAAGAGGAATGATAATATATATTTTTAAAGGTCTGTAATTAAACGTAATTTCAAGTAACCCACCATTTTTAGAGGAGAACGTCAGATTAACATCGGTATCCCGAAAAGCTTTATTTAATCATATGTGAACAAATGCAACTTTACACAAGTGCAACTTGCGTATTTCAGCTGCAGAAAAACAATATAGGAATCATCCGAATCGAACTTTTGTCAAGCTAGAAAAAAACGACGTTCTCTTCACATTTTTGATGAGGTAAAGGTACCAATGGGGTACCGTTGCAAATAGAGCATGCTTCTATTTAAATATCAATTGATTTTAGATCTACTATTGTAGTCAGCCCCAGAAATAATTTTCATCATCGGCTTGTAGACGAGTGAATACTATACATATACATCCTAGCTCTAATTTGAATTAAGAAACTAGTAAGTTTAGGATCAAAAGACTCAAGCAGAGAAACTTTTTTAGACAGTTTCCGTTCAAAAGTACCTAAATATAAGGCCTCTTGTTAATTTCAACAATTTAACATGAAGAAAAAACAGGGATATAAAGGAAGATTAAAAAGAGAATAAGGGATTGAAGTAATAAGAAAGAAGAAGATATTCACGGAAAAAAGTTCAAGTAAAAAAGTTAATGTAAGAAGAATAAGGAAGTCAAGAAAAAAAAAAGAAGTGTACAAAGCCTAAGGAAATATGAAAAAATGAGGAATGAGGAAGTGTATAGGGAGTAAGGATGAAAAAATGAGGAATGAGGAAGTGTATATGGAGTAAGGATGAACCAATGAGGAATGAGGAATTGTACAAGGAGTAAGGATGAAAAAATGAGGATGAGGAAGTGTATATGAAGTAAGGATGAACCAATGAGGAATGAGGAAGTGTATAGGGAGTAAGGATGAAAAAATGAGGATGAGGAAGTGTATAGGGAGCAAGGATGAAAAAATGAGGAATGAGGAATTGTATAGGGAGTATAGATGAAAAAATGAGGAATGAGGAAGTGTATGGGGAGTAAGGATGAAAAGAAGCAGTAAAGGAAAATAAGGTGATAAGAAAATAAAATTTGAGTGGTAGACTGCAGAAGTTATCTGCTCGCTATTGTTCCCTGGACATGTTTTCAAATGAATAAGTTTCTTATTCCTGAAACTTGTATGGTTTGAATAGGAGCAGAATAGAAGGAGGAAACTCATAAATTTTAACAATCTTAGTTCTTTCCTTTTCATTTACTACCCCCCCCCCCACACACACAATCTTAAATCTCTTCCCCTTATTTAATTGTCCTTGTTTTATTTTTTCCATGCCCTTGTATACATCTTTTTCTGTCTCTGTCTTTTTCCTTTTTTCTCTTTCTTTCTCCGTCTCTGTCTCCGTCTCCGTCTCCGTCTCTATCTCCGTCTCCCTATCTCCATCTCCGTCTCCCCATCTCAATCTCCGTCTCTGTCCCTGTCTCCGTCTCTGTCTCTGTCTCCGTCTCTGTCTCCATCTCTGTCTCCATCTCTGTCTCCGTCTCTGTCTCCGTCTCTGTCTCCGCCTCTGTCTCCGTCTCTGTCTCCGTCTCTGTCTCTGTCTCTGTCTCTGTCTCTGTCTCTGCCTCTGTCTCTGTCTCTGTCTCTGTCTCTGTCTCTGTCTCTGTNGTTCTCTCGTTAGATCTAACAATATATAAATTCTTCAGTGAAAAATGTTTTCTAGTGTATTCTGTAAATTTCAACAAGCTAGATTATTTTCTAAAAAAAAACTTTTTTTAAATTTGAAAGAAAATCTAACAGAGACCATATTTATTGAACAGATCAGTAATTGAACCACGTACCACTTACTTGGCGCTTGGTCTAGCTGAAGAAAATTGGTTCTTCTTATTACATATGGTCAGTGTACATAAACTTACAGGGACTGGAGGCGTAATTTCAGTAGAGAATCCGCAATTAAAAATCAACAATTTTCAAAATTATAAACTTTGATATCCAATTTACACTTGACTGAAATCTTTGTGTACCATTGTGAATCGGACATTATCATCTATGCCTGGAGGTTACTTGAAATTATGCTCGCTCAACCCTTTAAGTTTAACCCTGACAAAATCATTGTTATCATTATTGAAGTGAGTTACCTGTTTAAAAGATGGATGTTCTGTTTAAAATATTGACAAGCCAGGACAGAAAAATTCTCCAACCAAACGCACTCGTCTCATTAAATAGAAGTTTAAGTTAAAATTATGTATTTTTTCTTAACTAATAAAAAAATACATGAAAAAATAATCCAACTTTTATTCCTCATTTAAACCCCCCCCCCCAGAAAAAATTCCCAAAATTTAGCAACAAAAAAATTAATTAAGCGGGTAGAAATGATTTTTGATGGATGGGAGGGGGAGCGGGAGGATTATTTTTTAGGAGAATATTTTCCCCTGTTTTCCGTTCCGTCTCCTTATCGCAGCGGACTGTGAGTAATGTATTGGACTTAATCTTGCAAGTTATAGTCCTCTTTCAGAAACATTTTGTATCCCTTGGTATAATTTGGCATTTTCTTTAACTGGGTAAAATTTATTTTAGAGGGGGTGGGGATTAATTTTTAGGAGAATATTTCCCACTTTGTGATGTCATATACCTAGACTAGACTGTAAATAATATATTGGACTTAAACTTGAACAACTTTTAGCACCCGAAAAATCTAATTATTTCTCTTGTCTTGGTATTATTTATTTTCCCAATTTAGCAATTTTTTTTAACATACTGGGCAAAATTATATTGAAGGAGAGGAGGGAGGGGGGATTATTTTTCAGGATAATGGTATAGAATTGTATAACTAGTTGTATTGTGTTATACCTGGGCTGGACTGTGAGTAATGTATATTGGCGGCAACAATACTCTCAGCCAAGGTTTCAACTGTAGATACAGTAGAACCAGACAAGAATGGATCTAGGAATAAAAATATTAATCAAAAAAGATGGATTATCAAAATTTTCGCATAAAAACCCGCAATAACAGAAGAAAACTAATGAAAATTTGTGAACTGTTCAGAAAGTCGTAAATCTCAAAGAAATGTTAATGACATGGATTCAGATACGAATCCAGATCCATTTTTCCACTGCGGAGCCAGGATCGGATCCGGATCCGCAACACAATTAAATGGATCCTTAGCACTAGCTAAAACCCATTATTTTTAATAGCCATTTCTCATAAAAGTATCTTGCGCATTTATGCTTCAGAATTAATAAAAAATCAATAGAATTCAAAACTTAATAACTTAAAAAACTGATGTTTTCCTTGCTAATCTGATTCAACGGGCAGCTTTGTGAATCGTACATACAACTTCTTAAATGGAAAGTCATATAAAACGACGTCTGCAGTCCCTTTATCTTCTTTATAAATAAGAAAAGATTAAATATTGTGATTCTCACCTGTTAGAGGTTTAACAGACTGGGAATAAAGAAGAGTGCCTGGAGGATCGGAATTCTCCGGCATTCTGCAAATTTTTTTATCTGAAATTTATAAAAATAAACTTTAAAACAAAAATAACAATATTAGAAATTTTAGATAAAATACCGAAAAGATGAATCACAAAAAAAGCCACAGATTAAATACAGATAAATTTTGTCTGATGATATTCATATTACAACAGATCTTTTAGCGGAGAGAATGGTATGAAGATTAAAAACAGAGATCCATTTTGTCTTGATGGTATTCATATTCCTACAGATCTTCTAGCGGAGAGAATTGTATCGTTGATACCAACACCGTCGTAGGAACTCCCCACAATACTCAAAGGAAGACGACCTGAAATACAGCATGTTAGAGAGAAAGACGACTTGAAATACAACATTGGAGAAAAAGACGACTTGAAATACAACATGTTAGAAAGAAAGACAACTTGAAATACAACATGTTAAAAAGAAAGACGACTTAAAATACAACATGTTAGAAAGAAAGACGACCTCATGAATATCAACATGTTAGAGAGGAAGACATGAAGTATCAAGATGGTAGAATCAAATTGTTCCATTAAGGTTGGATACTTTCAATGTTAACATTCATTTGTCAGGTCGTTAAAAGCGCACATCGCGCAATATTTTTTGTAAAAGTGGACCATTATTTGCCAGATGGCTTATAATTTCATCAGTTTATTATATCCCGGGCTGTACCTTGGTTTATTATATCCAGGGCAGTACCTTGGTTAATTATATCCCGGGCTGTACCTTGGTTTATTATATCCAGGGCAGTACCTTGGTTTATTATATCCCGGGCAGTACCTTGGTTTATTATATCCCGGGCTGTACCTTGGTTTATTATATCCCGGGCAGTACCTTGGTTTTTTATATTCCGAGAAGTACCTTGGTTTATTATATCCCGGGCTGTTTTAACTCTTGCTAGATGACCCACAGTATACTGCGCTATACAGTTCCGAAGAATCTAAAAACAATTTTTATTTAAAGGGAGTGTTCGCGTNCAGGAGAGGGAACCACAACAATTTCAGAACGCAAGCTGGTTGAAGTGTAAGTGTATATGGGGATATTTTTACCTTTGTTTTAGATCTAGTTGGCTTGTCCTGGAACTTCAGAATCCGTTGTACTGTTTCTAGTGCAGTACATTCAATTTCAGCCTAGATAAACAGTAAACACTGTACAGTTTCTGGTGCAGAACACTCAATTTCAGCCTAGATAAACACTGTACAGTTTCTAGTGCTGTACACTCAATTTCAGCCTAGATAAACACTGTACTGTTTCTAGTGCTGTACATTCAATTTCAGCCTAGATAAACACTGTACTGTTTTTAGTGCAGTACATTCAATTTCAGCCTAGATAAACAGTAAACACTGTACAGTTTCTGGTGCAGTACACTCAATTTCAGCCTAGATAAACACTGTACAGTTTCTAGTGCTGTACACTCAATTTCAGCCTAAATAACACTGTACAGTTTCTAGTGCAGTACATTCAATTTCAGCCTAGATAAACACTGTACAGTTTCTAGTGCTGTACACCCAATTTCAGCCTATATAAACACTGTACAGTTTCTGGTGCAGTACACTCAATTTCAAACTAAACACTAAACAGTTTCTAGTGCAGTAATACATTAAACTTCAGCCTAGATAAACACTGTACAGATTCTAGAGCAGTACATTAAACTTCATCCTAGATAAACACTGTACAGTTTCTATTGCTGTGTACTAATTTAAACATAGATAAATAACCGTTATGTTTCTCAAACAAAGCAAAAATTATAATTCTTTGCATAAAAAGTTTAGGTATATTTGGCTGGCTTTAACTCATAAGATAACAGAGAATATAAAGCAAACAAAAAATATAATAAATCCGATAAAATAAAAATAAAATGTTGAAAAGAACCTAAATAAAAAACTAACCTGTGTTTTATCTTTAAACAATGAATTGAACCAAGCGCCTCCCATCATAACAGTAAAGATAGTTCTATCTCCCTTAACAGGAATTGTTCAGCTAATAATCATTGAACTGACAATAATTGTAGTTTACTAGATAATTTCTCGTATTTCTGAGAAAGGATATAATGAATTGTAAGAAGTATTTGAGCTGCGTAGAGATGGTTTAACCGCGTATCTTTTAATAGAACTTTGAATCGGTGATTCAAGATTTGAGCCAGAGAGTACTATAGAGATAGTTTAGCGATATCTGTCAAAATAACTAAATTCTAACAAAGTACTTTTTTATCTTTCTTTCATCATAATATCTTTTTTCCTCCAAACCTAGCTGCTAATACATAAGTTATTATTATTATTATTATTATTTACAATCATTCAAAATATACAGATTATACAGAATACAAATTAGAGATCAATTGATTTCAAGAAATTGTACAGCCCTGCAAGTGAAATAATGACCTGCTTAAATGTACAAGTATCGAAGATGCAGCCTAGAATTGGTTCAGGTTGGTTGGAAGGAACAAGGAATCCAAATCCAGGATTCTTCAATATATTCCCTGATTAAACATAATTATAAGGATTGGTTCCGATTAGTTGAATGGAATTAAAGTATTCTACAATATATTCCCTAATTAAACACAATTATAAGGATTGGTTCCGATAGTTGAATGGAACTAGAGGATTCTTCAATATATTCACTAATAATAAAAACAAAAATTGCCGGGATTCCAGATGCAGTTTTCATCATCCATTTTTAATAGATGTTAACAATATTTGTCCACTAATATTTTTTATTATTTTCACCAATTTAGCAAATTTTCACGATGGGAGAATTAATTTTAGGAAAATATTCAGCCTGGTAAGTCTAAATCTGTTTATATGACAAGATCAGAATTAAAGGTGAAGACTTATCCCCCTTTCTTTCAAACCTTTTTATATGAGAAAGTGACTTAAATGGTCAATCGATCAAAAATGCCACGCATTGATCATATTTCTGTAAATTCCGTGAATTTACTGGACTTCTCCGCTCTTAGCATTAAGCATTTTCAACCAATTTTCCTCTAGTATATAAATTTAGAATAAAAAACGATCGAATCTAAATCTAATTTGGATTTACCCAATACCCTCTTCACTCACTCTCTTTACGACTGATCTTGAATCTCCTCCATGATGATATTACCTTTGAACTCTAGATTGACCACAGCAACGTCTACATATGGGATAGTAGCTAGAGACTCATGCAGTTCAAGGGGTAGCGAGCTATCTAACAAGAACAAATGTTACCTAATGTGTTTTCTGTAATTCACAATGTATTTTTGTTCTTAATGTAATGGGAGGGGTAATTTGTTTGAAGCTTTTGCAAAGAGCAGAAAAATGCTAAGATTTCAAATGGCAAAGAATTTTATATTTTTTCATAACTATTTTCCAATAAAATCATTTATCCCCCACCCCCATCCCCCCAACAATATCAGCGATAAAAAAACTTAGTTTATTTAACAATATTGAAAAAATATTTAAGCCGAAAAGATAGCCGAAAGATCTCAATTAGGAATACCAGGAAAGAGATCTGAAAGCCCCCGAAGTTGGAGAACCGCCATCTGTGAAACTAGTTAAAGGGCCCGGCGTTGCCCGTGGAAAAAAAATAAAAAAAATAAAAAAAATTTTTGAGGAAACAAAATTTTAAAGAAAAAAAATCAAATTTTCTTAGCCTATGACACACCCCAGCCACCTATAAGTGTCCACAAAAAATTTCAGTCCAATCGGTCCATCCGTTTGGCTGGCTATAGACAACATATATATTTATTTCCCGATTTTCTCTAAAAATTCGTCATTTACTTTTTTATCTTTTCTCCCAAACATGATTGTTAATTTTTACAAATCATCTTTGTCATCACTTTAAACAAAAACTAAATTCAACTGATTAATTTTTACAAATTAAAAAATAAAATGTCCTACCTTTCAAAAGCTGAGCAGCAGCAAAACTTGGTTGAGCAAGGGTTAATTTATCACAGGGTATACTTCCATTCACCATACACACTTCTTTTCTATATAAACAGGGCGTCTCAAAACAAACGGGGAAGAAGGGTCTACTGACTCGTTTCTAATCTGATTTTCAATATTGAAGCCATTTTTTAAAATCTACGTACAATTTCAATTCAATGAGCCCAACAATTATAGGCTTGTAGATCTAAAAATGTCAATGATAATATCCGTTTGCACAACTTTGTACAAGGGTCTACAGACTTGTTTCTAATCGGATTTTCAATGTTGACACCATATTTAGGTACTATTTCCGATTCAATGAGTTCAATTTCAGGCTTGTAGATTTATAAAAAATAAAAATAAATTAAGGCTCTTACACCACAACGCCTCATTCACCTACCGAACTTTAGTTTAAAATCAGGAGAGAAATAGCTGCCATCCTGTTTTCTCCCAAAAGCCTATTTTTCAAACAAGCTCAAGGACATAATATGAAAACGTTCAAGGATATAGAAAGAAATCGTTGAATGATGCAAACAGAAGACGTTTAAGAGTATGTATAAAAGGAAAACGTTTCAGAATACGTATAAATAGAACACGTTTAAGAATACGTATAAAAGAAAAACGTAATTAAGAATATATATAAAAGGAAAACGTTTAAGAATATGTATAAAAGGAAAACGTTTAAGAATATATATAAAAGGAAAACGTTTAAGAATATGCATAAAAGGAAAACGTTTAAGAATATGTATAAAAGGAAAACGTTTAGGAATATGTATAAAAGGAAACCGTTTAGGAGTATATTTACACTCAGCTGGGTTGATTCATTGGAACTTAAACGGAGGGAGCTCAAGCCTAAAACCTAGATTGAAGGTTTGACAGCGATTATTATTATTATTATTATTATAAAAGGAAAACATTTAGGAATAAATAACAGGAAACCGATTAAGAATATAAAAACGCAACGTTTTAAGATACATAAGAAAAACCTCTAAAGAAAAAGTTCAAGAACATACATTACAGGCAAATTTTAGAATATACGTACTAAATCATTTTTTCAAACTTTTACTTTCACATTAGGAACATGCAAACATACGGAAATGTATTCTGAAAACAAGTTAGATATGGGCCCCTAAAAAGAGGACCATGTCCCACCCCCTTTTCAAATACGGTTGAAAGCCCTACTTTATTGAATTGCTCCACGTCTCAAGCACTATTAACAGGCCATACATAATAAATATGTATGATACATGATTGAGATAAAGGAATTCATCTTTTCAACCCCTTGTCGTAGACCTTAGATATTTGAAACTATAAATTCTGTTAGATCAAATTATCTAACTTTTAAACTATCCGGTTACAGAAATATAGGTATCAGAAAATTTAAGCTTGTGGCAAAATCTCCTTTATATATTTGATTTGCCATTTTTGTTCTAACCTGAAATAAAGGTCTTGAACCTTGTAATCCGTGAATATCTCGACACCGAGCTTGAGCAGTTTATCCTTCAAGGCCTCCGTGAGAGTAGTCAGACCATTCTCCAGGCCCCAGACAGACCAATGCTCACTCCTAGTAGTCAAGGGTAAAATAAAACCAAATATAAGCGTTATCCAAAAATTATCACTTACATCTGGATTGTATATTTTCTCACAAAATTATTTCCCCCCCCCTTTTTTTAAGTAATATTTTTCCCATGTATGTTTGCCCGTTTTTTAAAAGGTTTAATTCGCGGAATTGCGGAAAATTAATGTATTTGGTGGGGAAAAAAATAATTTTTGTTGTCTAATTTTTCAACCCCCTATCCCCCCCCCTCATCATCTAAAATCATTAAAATGACTAATATTCTTCCCTCGAACACATGAAGTGTTTGAGGACTTTTTAGTATGTTCTTCTATGATGACACGAAACATTACCGTACTATCTTCTTGTACTGTACCGAACCATACAGAATTATACTGTATCGTCCATTTTAATTGTACTGCATTGTACCCTACCGTACCTGGCAAGTTTAACCAAATCACATTCTTCTTCTTTCGTCTTTGGTATTGGGAACAATTTATTCTTGAAATAATCCTTCAAGTAACCCTGAAAAAAACTTTTTTACTTACCGAAATTTAGTCTTTTTCTTTATCAATTTAAATAAAGGCTTTTAGGGCCTTTCTTTCTAAACTTTCTTGCTGTCAATAAATCATCGAAAAAATAAACGCAATAAAAAATTCCATCTTAAAATACAAAAAAACACATGTAAGTTGTCAACCTTCACCAGGAAAATATCAACCCTTGGAGACATGTCAGGTCCCACACATAACAGATTAATAATCTATATATTCACCTTTAAAACAGAACCACTAGACTGCTCTAACTCGTGAAGATATTTGGCTATAAAATGTACACTGATCTCTCTGGAGTTCCCTGCAAACAATAAAATTTGTATAAATAAAGTAGTAATCTCAGTTTGTCTGTTTGGATGTCCGATCATAACTCGTGAACCCCTGGAAGAACCAAGGGAATGTGCTTAGTCCGGCGATAAGATTCAAAGTCGAGTTCGTTGACTTTTATCCAGAAAACTCAAGGTAAAGCTGAGTTTTAAAGCAAGTGACATTATAAGTACTTTGTACAGTGGTCTTGAGAGAACATAAAAGGACTATCAACATAATGTGAAGAGACTTATTAAGTAAAGTCATAAACGCTTTTCACCTAACACCTGTATGACCTGATAGATTCCTTTTAAAAATCTAATTTTATTTCTACTGTGAGTAGAATCTCATTAGTTGCCTTTTTCATACAAGTTCTGATTACTTTTGTTCTGGTAGAATACCCAAATAAAACCAAAGTTTGTGAGGTAAAGTAATGTAAAGTTGAAAAAGTATAACCTTGTGATTTGTGAATCATCTATGTATTACTGTAGCCCTTAGAATAATGATGACGTTCGTTAACACTGTTGGTGATTGACCATACCTTATTTAATCAAGTGTTTAGATAACTGACCATCATACCTGATAAAGGAGGGGGAAGGGGGGGGGGGGTCATGGAGGTAGTGAGAAAAGGGAGAATGACTGCTAGAATTTGTGACAGTCCATAACATTTTAATCGTGTGTTTAGATTAAAACTAAACATCATGTCTGATCAAAGAGGGGTATGGAGACTGGGGGAGTGTGGGGGATTAATGAGGTACTGATGAAAGGTGAGAGAGGTGGGATTGGAGTCTAGGTACCTGCACATATTCCTCTGACCAACGGATCAACAGCATACTGAGCAATATCTTCTCCAAACCTTAGTACCACAGAAGATTAGTAAAATCATCAAAATATAATGTTTTTGGATTAAAATTTCATCAAGTTTAAGGGGAAACTTTTAAATTGAAAACCTTTGGACGGATCAATCTTAGACGTTGGATAGTTATCTCTTCATTTCTTTCAAAGGCCAAAGGTTTATTGGTGACAGGGATAGACGATTTAATACGAACACCGAAATTTAAAGTTTGGTGGATAGAGTTCTGTCATTGACGCTCTATCCTTTACCTTAATTTTTCAATTTCTATATCTATAATCTATTGTTACGCGAGCCATGCTGCGTGAGTAAAGTCTATGTGACGCCCCTGTAAACTTCTGAGGTTACCCTGAATATATCTGTACAGAAAAGTGTCGGAAGAACTAGTTTTGGAAACTGTATTCTGCTCATCTACGCATGCGCGGTATTCTCTCCTGGAAGCGGACTGATCTCGTATTTAGTAGTTGTAAAACGATAGTATATATAAATCCGTGCCAATAATTCGAGGATCACTGCGGTAAATATTCTTTTTATATGTATGAATATTGTATATTTATGTTTCTCAATGGATGATTTATAATGTATTGCTTCGTCCCACAGTTTTTTAATGCTTGAGTTGATTTTCTTGGTTATTGTAATGGCTTGATCGGCTCAAAAGCTTTTTTTCCTGTGGAAGTAATAAAGTTTTTTCTCTTGTTAGATCGAAGATTGGTTGAATAAAGATTCGGAGCTTTCTCCTGTTCATTCTTTTATCATGGAGAGCGATCGAAAGAGGAGATCTTACAATCCAATCCGGAGAAATACCGCACGGTACTTAGCAAACTTTCATTAGGTCTTAAGGGAATTCGCACAGTCGCGAAACATCTATATATATACATTAAACAATTTTGAACATTAATTATTTAATTATCTTTCTCAATATTTAAATTTTGCGAAAACAAACCTTAGAAAATATTATGCTGAAAATTTTGAACATTCTACTTACTTGAAAAGAGAAATGAGGGTTGAAGGTAGTTTATACAATTCTCCGTTTACGTAGACCATTCGGTTTATAGTTGATGGTTCTCCTAGCTTCACAGACCGAACTCTACAATAGAACACTTCGAAAATATATTAAAGGGACTGTTGTTCAAATTTCAAGTGACCCTTCAATTAAAGAGATTTATCCGAGGGATCTAGAATAAGTTGAGGGAGAGAGTCAAGGGGTGGTTTATATTCTACTTTGACATGTGAAGAGTAAATACTGCTCTGCAAATAGATTATAGTGGTTTTTTAACAATAAAAAGTTAAAGGGACAGAGCTGAAAACTTTAGAATGGTGGATATCGAGATCAATGCTTGATCTCCTCTTTTTCTTAATCTCCAGATTGAATAATGCTTGTTCTCTCCTTGTTATTGATCTCCAGATTAATTAACCGATTGGGAGTAAGGATATCCCATTCTAAAGTTTTCAGCACAGTAATTGTAATTTCAAGTGACTCTCCATATACTGATGACAATTCCAGATTCACAACAGTGCCGTTAAAAGCTTTGTCTGATCAAGCATGAATTAGATATCAATGTTTATAATTTTAAAAACTGAAAATTTTAATTTGTGATTTTTCCACCTAAGTAAATTTCGCATTTATCATGCAGGAAAACATATATAAAATAAACACTTATAAATCTTGTAAAACGACATCTTCAAAATTATTGATGAGATAAAAGTTTCAAGGGTACCGTTAAGAATCTAACACGGTCATCTTTGCATAGAAATTACGCTTTTAATAACTAAATTTTGTTCATTCTGGCCTTTCTGTACTGCTCAAGAATCCAATCTTTCTTAATGTTTACAGATTGGCTTGATCTGTCCTATTACGTCAGAGTACAATGTAAACAAAAGTTGATCTCTCTCTCCTTAGTTTCAACCTCATTGGATTTATATAAGAATAAAAACATTTAAATATTGACACATAGTATGAGATTGAAGTTTTAACTATGTCTACTGTTTTCCTACCTGGAGCTGTTTTTAATAATAAAAAAAACAATTAAAAATTGGGATAAGGGGGGGGGGAGAATAGAATCGAGAAAAAATTCTCATTTTGAATATATTTGTGAGTGATTCATGGTCCATTCATCGCTTTACTTCAATGCTTGTTAGATGTGGAGATGAGTTTGGAACAGAAATGGCGCTGGAGACACATGTGCGCCG